TATGGATGTTTTTGAACTTCTTTGCTCCCGGGGACTCAATGCTCCAAATTGATAAAAAATTAACTTTAGGATAGTCCGCACTCCAACCATAGTTTTTATATTATTATTATATTAAGGACGACCCTAATATATATATATATATATATATATATATACATATCTAAATATATGTGCATGTGTATATATTGTAAAAAAAATTAACTTCATAGATGCAATGTATAAAGTTACTGCCCCAAAATAGGCCATTCCTGGTTTAAATTTTTTTCTTACGTATTTTTCTATTCACATCCAGGACTGCATCTCGAAATTTTTCTGGTGTTTTTTGCTAGCTTTTATGAAAATCCATGAGCACCATGTCCCATAAGAAAAATGTTAACAGTTTCTCTTGCTTGTTAAGACTTGTCCATATTGATCTTCATTCTATATAGTCTTTCCACTTTGACGATTCCAGTTTATAATACATATTTTATATTTGAAATGAAATCATGGTGACTATATACTTCTTCCAATTGAGAAATCTTCAGCACTTTCGGTTATCTTTTTCAGCACGTGTACATCATCCTCTACTTAAATAAATTTAAACAGTTAGTTACAGTCACTCTCCTTATTCCAGTTCTACTATTCCTCAATTAGATCTCAAGTTCAGTTTTGATACAATAAAAAAGCAATAAAATGTTTTTGTTTAAATTTGATTTTAGATATAATGAATGAAAAATGTCTCGAGTGGTACGAGTTTTGAGAGCTGGTCGTATGAGCTATGCCAAATCTTTACGTCTTCAACGTCTTGTAGCTGCTTCCCACGTTGGAACTTTGATCTTAACAGAGCATCCTCCAGTTTATACCATTGGCATAAGAACAAATGCTTATCCAGAATATGAAGAAAGAAGATTAAAGGCACTAGGCGCGGATTATCACAGGACGAACAGAGGCGGACTAGTCACATTTCACGGCCCTGGTCAATTGATAGCATATCCAATCATAGATCTGAAGTTAGTAAATAAATAAATAATGGGTAATATTGCCCTAGGGCAGCTCCGTGAGTTGAACTCCAACTCTATTAGTATTGATATACATAAGCTTTAAAGAATTAACAAATAGAATGTTCTATTATTAATGTATATATCTATTTTAGAAATTTTGTCCCAAGTGTGCGATGGTATGTTCAAAGTTTGGAGGAAGTAGTAATCAAAATGTGTTTGATATATGGAGTCAAAGCCGAACGATGCAAAGATACAGGAGTCTGGTGTGGAAATGATAAAATTTGTGCAATTGGCGTACATGCTAGTCGGTAAGTTATAATTAAATTTATCAAATATGCTCAAAAAGTTATTTCGAATTTATTTTATTATGTTATATTTGGAGCAACCAATATCTATTATTATTTTTGTTTATGAATGTATGCTTTCAGTTACAAAACATCTCATGGATTGGCCCTTAATTGTGATTCTGATTTAAGTTGGTTTTCACACATAGTTCCTTGCGGTTTGCCTGGAAAGGGCGTTACATCCCTAACTAGGCAACTGGATCATCCAATCACCGTTGATGAGGTGACACCAACATTTTTAAAATGTTTTGCTCAGGTAATAATAAATATATTCTTTTAAATTATAAAATTTAATGCTCTACTTTAAATAAATAATTGATATCTATCTATCTAGTGTAATATTATACTCTTATTTATTATTTATTAGGTGTTTGTATGCGAATTAAAAGAGATGGATCCAGAAGAAGTGCATAGCTTATTGAGAGCTTCTGACGAGGATATAATAAGTAATGAAAAAATAAGAAATGTAGAACCTTGATTATTTATATTTTCATTTGAGATGGATACTCTTTACATATTAAAATGCATTTATTTGTAATATAGTTACTTACTGACATTTTGAATGCAGATTGTCAAGTGTGAAAATGAAAAAATATTTTGATAGTATTCATATTACTCATTTTTTACATGTATGTGAAATGTCTCAGTGATTTAATAAGAATGATTTAAAATATATTTGATTGTTGATCTGAAAATCTTGTTATCATTTGGAAGATGTTTTATAATGCACAGTTGTTTTTTTAAATTACTGGTACGCCATATTAAGGAATTCATAAGGACTTTGATCGTACGAATGTCCGATCAGCATCAGACGTCTGCGCCAATGATTTAGTTTTCAAAATTTTTCTTTCACTATAAAAATGAGAAATTAGTATATTAATTTTATTATTATATTTATTAGTGTTTTACTTTATTTATTAGTATTTTATTTTATTTATAATTATAAATTTAAAATAATACTATTATTATTTAATATTACAAAATGCGTGATATTTATTTGTCTAAACTATTCGTGCATTTTATTTTATATGATCATGAATATAACAGAAGAACTAAGTATTAGACGTACATATTGAAGACGATGTAAATTAATTTTATTTAATGTAGGAAAAAATATTTTTTTATCTGTTTATTTTCATATTCCTGTTTATGTGCACTTATTAAAATGTCAATTATTAAATAAATTAGAGTCTTAACTATTAAGAACAATTTGTAAAAATAATGGCTGTGGTCTCTTACACCAGGCTGAGTGATGATCTCTTGCACTAAACTACTACAGATCTTCTACATCTCTGCTGATACATTCAATACGCATGAACATATTTTTTAATAAATTAAAAAATAGAGATAATTTTTTTTAATAGACAATAAAATCTATGCTCACCTGCTTCGGTTATTTGTACTATCGCGCAACAAGGGATGATGTGGCACAGGTCTTCCCAAAAAATAGGCGCCTGCTCTGCCTAATTCCGATCGACCCCAAAGATGGGCGCGATCCCTAATCAATAAATAATTAAATAAACTACAAGCTACAACAACTAAAAATTATTATCTTTATCTTGAAAGAATAATGTATATGTAATGTATATGTAATGAACTACTGTATAAAAACATTGTTTATAAGTGATTCATCATATTATTTACCATATCATAAACTCTCCTGGTCCATTATCGGCTGCTAAGGCTGTCGTAGTCAAAAAACGGTACAAAATCATAGACGGAATGAGGGCTACGAGCCATTGAATAGCTATGTAGACCGTAAAGGGCTTCAAAAAAAATCTCAAAATATTTGGTAAATGGGATAGATCAGCACAGGCCGGGAACAAGATGTAATAGTACCAGGGCGCTGGATAATATGCACATAACTGAAAAAAATTGAAATATGTGAATGGTCAATTTTCAGAAATAAGGACTTCGCAAACTAACCGCGTTAGGGTCAAAAGATTTAAGAAAATCCGACTTGCTAATTTTATGTTTTCTTCTAAGACCTTAAATTTGAGACCACGTTTGGATAAAGTATGTATGTGTTTGTATGTGGGTCAAAATTCGACTTTTTATAAGTTTTCTCTAAAATAGCTGAACTGGCTTAAAATTTTCAAAGAACTTTATGTGATAAAATAGTTCATGGTTTTAACGTACACCTTGAAATTTTATAGGTTAGTACATAATTACAAAAAATATTAAATATTAACAATAATATATTCACTAACAATATTATTTAATATATCCCTTGCAATTATTTTTTTTAATAACAATTATTCCCAAACAGTTTGTATATTATATCTCCTTTAATATATAGTATCATGTTAAAAAAAATTTGAAACTTTTAAATTTTGGGAGTTTTCAAATCTCAATTCTTAAAGTCGATAAATTACACAAATTGGAAATTTTTTGCAGTTTTTTTCTTACAATTATTTGCAACTTATCATAAAAATTATTTTTAGTTATTTTGATAATTTAATTAAAGCTTACCTTCGTATAATATAATTCAATCGCATAGTCCAAACCATGCAAAACATTATCATATAGAATTGTTGCTGAGAAAAGGCATACTGTGTATATGAACTGCTGAAAAATAAAACATTATTTATAAAATAGTTATGAGATGAATCTTCAACAGGAACATTGTAAAGTAAAAATAAGTCGAGTTTTAAGACAAACCTGCTGAGCTATCTTGGACCAGGACATCCGTCGTAGTGGTGATATGTTGAACACATGGTATGTTAATAACCTGGGATTCATGAAATTATATAAGTAATTATAATATATAAATAGTTAGACTAAATATAACTATATTAAGTCATTTGGATTATCGGTAACATTTATAATGTCAAATTATTTTGCAGTCTACAAACTTATCTAGTAAACTCTCATTACTGACTCTTGTAAATTCTAAGCATAATGAATTCAGTACAAAATAATTTTATCTCACCTTAATAAAATAGCGTTGGTTACTGCAAATACGAGACATGGAAGCAACGTATATACACTTGGAATTTCTCGAGCTAATATAACGTCTATAACATCATGAGTACACGTGCCAACAGGCAACCAATTTTGCCCTACTTTCGCCACCATTTTGCCTAAGAAAAGTAATTTAACAGAAGATCTGCGAGGATGTTCAAAAATTTGAAAAACTTACTTATGCTTTTTGTCGTAACAAGAACTAATACACAATATATTTTTAAGGCATACTAAAATTTTGAATTTAAGTTATATGCCATTTTTAAGATGTTACATATGTGATTCTATTTTGTTTTGTTTTTGGCGTTTACCATAAACAAAAAAATGCAGTCGAATATTGTCACAAATGAGTCTAATGCTAATTTGAATTACCTATTTCAACTCAATTTATGTCTAATTTCATAAAGTCTGATGTAGCCTTAGTATAGTTATTTGTTTTATCTATGAGAATGTAATGCGACACTTAAAAACGCACAATATTTTTTTCTAGTCATTCTTATGAAATTTTAATTTTAATGTTATAATTTAGATTAGTATTAGTTCTCTTATTGTTAGTCAATTTATTTAATTAAAGCAAATGATTGGTGGCCTAGACCTTAGACTCTAATTTATTATATAATTAAATTTGTAAAAAGATAAAACTTTATTTAGAAATTACTGCAACATATCGATCTAATAAATAATTACAAAATTAAATTTATAAATACTGCTCTTAACAGTAACTCATAACGCTGACGTCTTTAAGAAATTCTGCCAAATGATGTATAAGTTGAGGTGGCGTTTCTTGACTTTTTTTCCTCGACGAAGGAGAGGCGATCACTCCAATTGCAAGTTGGTGTAAGTCCGGATAAAACTATAATCATTTATATTATTCTGTATTAATGCAAAATAATAGCAAAAAACGTTTGTCTAGGCGCTATGAAATTAATTTTCTCAAAAGACTAAACTTTGAAAACATTGTTCAATTATAGATAATTGAATTCATTCAAGCATATAGCATGAATCTTAATTGTACTGGACTTGTCTACGAATTTGTTTGCTTTCTCTAAACTGTCCTTAAATTTTAATACAACTCAGTACATTTGTTTTACTAAATTAATTGTTAAGGAAAATTTCTTTCAATTAACTTACCCCTTCTGATTTAGAATGTGGTGTGGCAATAAATTCTTGTGAACCTTCATCACAATCTACCACAGTAGCGTTCAAGGGGGTTATCAGCAGGGTACTAAATCCAGGCTAAAAGAAAAAATTCTATTGATTTGTTTGAAATAAATGGCAAAAAAAATCTTAATGTCCAGATCAGACATGTTTGGTCTAATGTAAATTCTGGAACTTTTGATAATATTGAAACCATCTTGTATTTCAAATTTCAAATTGTTTTTACTGATGATCATTTATTTGAAACTAGCACATGAATTTATAATAACATGCTTGACTTCTTGCTACGCTAGACATAAAATTGTTATATGCAGTTATTTAAAAATGAGAAATATTGCTCGAAGTGAAATGTAAGAGAATTTTTCTAATTTTGCATAAGTATTTAAAATACAACATAGGTTCATTAAAAACTTTACCAGATGCTTTTTTCCTAGAACTTCCCTAACTAAAAGAACGGCACGACGCCTTCCAGCACCCTGGTTCCACCTGCTCCATTTAAAATTGTGGGACAATCCAAGTGAAGCCATATTATGATAGAGATGACGTTCCATTGGACGATGCTTACAACAGTTATCTAATGTTGTTAAAAAAGTAGAAAAAAAATCCTTTAGATTTCAATAACATTTCAATATAAGTAAACAGTCACAGTTGATACAATACCATACCTTCTACATAGGCATACGAATCATGTTCAGGAAAAACGTCAACACAAGCATCTCTCATAATCTGTAGAAATAAAAGAAAAATAAAAAAAAAATAATTATAAAAACAAATATACTTATAAAATTATATTAATCATATATTTTTAACTTGCCTTTTTTAATTTCTGCAATGAATATACTTGTCCGTAATGTTGATTAAGATAATCACTAGGAGCATTCTAAAATGATAATTAAATATATATATATATATATATATATTAGTATATTTATTATAAAATACTTTATAATAATTATAAAATATTTTATAATACTCACCCGAACTTCTAATAAAGCCACACCTTCTGATTTTATAGAGAAATCAATACTAACAATTGAAGCGTTTAGTGAAAAAAATATACCATTTCTAGAAAGTAAAATAATTAAATATTATAACAAACATTATAGAATTAAAATTATATATAATAGTTGAGGATTAATATTAAACAAATATTATTACAAAAGTTCTCCCAAAGAAGACAATTAAATTAAATCTATTATAATTAAATATTAAAAGCCTATTAAAATGTCTACTTAAGTATTAACATTGTCCAATTAAAATAAACATCTTAGATCCGAATTATGAAAACGATCACATATCTATATCGACATAGATTGATATATAAAATTCAACAACTAATACAATACAGTTAATTAAAATTATAATATAAATCTATTTACCAATTATGTGCTAGTTTTACAAATCCGATTAATAAATCAATAACAATCAATGTAGGCAAAAATAAATCTAAATATAAATTTTATCACATACCCGTCAGCTCCAGGCTTCATTTCCCAATTTTGATAAGGGAGATTTGTAAACCGCAAAGCCGCTAAGCCAAAAATACCTAAAATAACACAACAAAAGATTAATACCTTAGCAACAGAAAATATTTTAACACATCGATTTTTGATATAATTTTTTTATATTTTTATATACATTTGAATTCAAAATACCTAGTTTACTTGTGCGAAATGTTATGGTTTGTTTTTCTTCATTAAACTTAGAATCGTGTATGTACTTGGTGGTCCAATATCCAGTTCTTGTAAATTTTTCTCGAGGCTCACTATTGACAACTATCTCACGAGGAATCAGGTCTCCAAATACTGACTCCTCAGATTCAGTCTGGGGATGAAATTATTAATCACATTCTTAAAATATATTTTTAACATGGGTACACCGTTATAAGAATAAAACAAAATTTGAATTTTCAGATTCATGTAATTTTTTATAAAAATTAGTATGATTTTTTATAAGAACACTTAGGCATACTCCGATGTTTGAACTCTCTGCAAAATTGATTAAAACTTCCAATTAAAATCAAAGTATTCTGTATATCATATGCCAATTTGTTTAGAAGATATTTGTTAAAACAAGTATATGCATAAATTCATAAAACATTAAATTGACCTGGGCTAGTATTATTACCTCAGATTGTGGCTCTTCCAGAAGCTCTTCCAATAGATTTCTAGTCTGATCTTGAGGAGCTTGAGCTTCTCCAGTTGCTATCGATAGACGTTGTTGCAAACTCATTCGAGGTGGAGCTTTTGTGGGAGTTCTGATAGAAATAAATAATAAGTAAAACTTAATAGACACTAATAAAATACAATTAAAAAAACACTGAATTAAACATGACACAAATTGGTAAGACAATTTTAACAAGCAGTATTTAATATGCACTAATATAATGGGATTAAAAAAACATATGTTAAATATAGCATACATTTAAGATGTTTTTTGCTGGATTTAGAGTATATACTAAAAATAATTACAGACAAAAAATCATAAAAATATGTATTTACTGTGCAAGTAACACTGAAGCTCTAGCTGCAGCACTGCTTTGAGCTTCCCTGTCGCCCAAATCACCTAGAATAATAAATTTCAATTTGTATTTAAAAAAAATGAGGTGTTGGTATAGTTGCTACATCAAATATATTCGATTTTATTCAAAAGTTAATAATAATAATTGAAAATTAATAATAATCAATAAAAAGAAATATTTGTACTTAAATTATAATTTCAAGTAAGAACAAAAAACTATAGAGTAATTATTAAGTGATTGAAATAATATGGAAACCATGATGAATGTAATAATAATTTATTTAAAGAATATCAAGAAGCAAGTCCCGTTCATCTTTCAATAGCAGAATTTGATCACAAGAAGATAATATTATGGTTTTACTAAGGTGACCATACGTCCCGGTTTGCCCGGAACAGTCCGGGATTTCCACCTTGTGTCCCGGGTTTTTATAAAAACTATATTAGTCCCGGATTTAGATTATTTGGACCGGATTGCCCGGGTTTACGAAAAGTATAAGAGTAAATTGATTCTTTGCCATTACTTGATAATAAAATTACAACTAGCCATCAAATATCTGAAAATGTTATATATCCTGGGTCTCGGGTGGGCATAATTAAAAATTGAAGCCCGGTTTTGACCTAAACAATGGCCACCTTAGTTTTACGAGTTTTGAATCTGGTATTCCTCAAATGATATTTCATTCTTCAAATGATTGCTTTACTATATTCTACTATAATAGTGTAGTGATAATCACATACAAAATCATTTTTACTAATGTGAATTTTCTGATGTATTTTCCAGTATGTACCTGGCGTTCCAGTACTGGGACGTCTTTTTTGACCCCTATCTGATGGGACCCAGTCGGCTAAAAGTGACTGACGACCCGCAGGCATTACACTACTTCTACGAGTTTTATGCTTCTCATCGAATCGTGCTCCCCTTTTGGTCGCATACTTCATAGGGTCTTCCCATAGACAGGCCAAAGGCGGCTCAAACCACAATACACCAGGCGGAAGACTATAATAAATAATTAAAATTAAAGTGAAATATCAAAAAAAGAGTTCTTTAATTTATTATAAAATATCTTACGTGATTGTTACAAGAGGTAATGCTTCTAGTTTTTTCTCCATTATTTTGATAGCTAATTCGATTTGTTCTGGAGATCTCACCTCTCCAGGAGGCGGAGGTGGTGGTTCTTCGTATGGAGCATTGAAGTATACTCCTATTAATTCCTTGGGCAAGGGCACTAAAATTTAAAAAATATAGCCAAATCATAAATCAAATAGTAATATGTAGTATAGATTAATTTGAATGGCAGGTAATATCTGATTTTAAAATACAAATGTTTACACTGATTTTAATTTTTTTATAACTAGACATTAAATCTTCAAGCGATTTTTTGATCATACTTCGTCAGACGTACCTACTAGGTTTACCTAATTCTGATATCATATGATAAAGTAATATGTAACATATGAAAGTTATCTTTTGTAATATATTATATATGTAAGTTATCTATTGATGTCATTCTTTATTAGCATTATGTTATTTATTTATATATTTATTTTTCAGTGTTTTTGAATTTGCAGAGGCAATAATACTAATCATTGGATTCAGTACTAATAAAATGCAGATTTTATCTGTAAATATTTTAAAACTCATTTATTTGGGTTTAATTTCAAATCCATTTACAAATCAGATAAAAATCTCAATATTTTTCAGCACACATAACGATAAAAACGCAATAAAAACAATCGCTACTGAACAATATTAATCTGGTCAAAAGCACAAAACACAGTAATTTTATCAAATATTATCAGAGGATTAGTAGAAATATATGCTTACGTTAACCATATGATACAACTCCAAAGTCACGGTAAGATATTTGAACTCTAAAATATTTATGACATGCACCAGATTCATTTTCAACTACACAGGGTTTATATTTTCAAAAAGTAAAAATTTCTAAATTCAAACCACTAATAAATCGTTTCTGTTCTCTCAAGTCTCCCTTAAAATTTAGTGTTTTTAATTTTATTTCAATTCGTTATTTGAAAAGCACGTAGTTTAAAATTTGCATATGAGTGAGCAATATAATTGCACTTTGAAACATTGAAAATAAAGTATTGACTTATTCATCAAATGATTCATTTAACTTGTTTCCTAGCATTGTGTAAAAAATTTAAATAGGTTAATTTTGGAATGGAATGCATAATGTATTTAACTAACATCTAATGAAGTTATACTTTGATATTTTTCGAAATAGTAAACAGTAATATACTTTTATTTATTAATACAAAATTCAATTTTTTTTTTGCAAAACTATTTGTATTAAAAATTATTTAGTGCAACTTTGCATAACTTTGTTATGTATTCCATTCATCTATTATAAATTTACAATAAAGACTGAAATAAATTACGATGATTTTCGAGATATTTTCTATGAAATCTATGTACTCCTTCTCATGAAGTAATGTATCCTTGCCTTGGTTTGCTAAAAATTAGTTACAAACAAATGCAAGTTATTCGATCTCTCATCTAAGCCCTATGGAATGGCGCTATCAAAGATCACAATATTAATAAAAGTAGATAAGTCATTCATCAAAATAAAAGATAATAAAATAGAAAATGATAAGGTATCTGGACATATTGATTGATAACAGGTTGATATGATAAATCAACTTATAGAAAATATGCTGCGCGTGTGGTCATCATATAACCATTCCAAGAGCGTCAGATTGTTTGTTAAAATTTGCAATAATAAAAATAAATAAAAAAAATCCACTAACAATAAGTAACAAGTAATAGTGAAAACTTCTAAATAAATATTCTAAATTTTTGAATTAACTTCTTCTGTAAAATATAACATTATCACGACAACTATTTCAGATAACAGTTCAATAAATTTTGTTATAATTCTAATAGTGAAGTGATATGGTGGTTAATAGTTTTATTAATATAAGAGGAGAAGAAACCACCATCGGCTAGTAAATTTTATAAATTGAATAATTAGATATCTAAAATCTTATGAAACGACGAAAGCTACCATTTTCTTATACACATTTCGTTCATGAAGAATTCATTGCAAGGTAAAAAAATTATCATAGAATATTCCATATAAAATTCGAAATTTGTATCTATTTGATTAAATTTTTCTTCGAAGGATAAATAATTATTAACCAATTTATTAGTACCTATGAAAGCGACCGTATCTATTTATGAAAAATGTTTTTGTTGATTATTTTAACCGTTTCTTAAAATGTTTAAAAAATCATATTACTATAAACCTGTAATAATGGTGATTCAAGAGAAAGGACAATTTTTTCTTTGCACAAGATTTCATAAATATATATAATATATAGACTTCATTTGCAGTATTTGAATAGATTTGATATTATTTTAAGATACAGCTTGCAAAAATGAATCAGTTTATAATTTATATTATAAATATCACCAAGATGTATTTGTTCATTTTCTAAAATTATCAATTTACCTTTCTAATTTCTCAATATCATAGGTCGCATTTAATATATAAATTACTTTTATTATATTGCGATTAACTTTATATTGAATTCGATATCATGATCGTTATAAAGAGATTATAAAAGATTAATTACATTTTGAAATGCACAATCTGCAACTGTTTCAAGTACTAATTAGATATCGCAATTGATTTTTGTGTCAAATATAGAATACTTTCATCATACAAATCTTACAACGCATTTCAAAACGACGTAACAATTTTGAATTTTATTTATCTACTCTTTAAATTTTTATTTATCAGTGTTATCTTATAATATGGAAAAACATGCACTTTCTTGTCAAATTAGTTGCACTTATTTGAATTTTTATCAGCATTTTTAAACGATATAAAAATAATCTCAACCACAAAAAACCTGCTCACATTCTCATAGAATGATATAATATTCTAATTTATAAAATTCTGATGCCAAATATATATATATATATATATATATATATATTTATTTATTTATTATTACAGACTGCGCATACACATCAACTGCCGATAAATATGTGTCGAAAACAATTCCAATTGATTCTGCAAAAATATATTAATAATTCAAGTATTCACCTGACACTCAATTATTTAATATTGAGTGTATTTTATATCAAACTATCAAGATGTTTGATTTTTGCAACTATTCTGTTGTTTATGCTGATTTGTTCAGCAAATGGCAAATTTCTCCATGCAACAGAAGTAGGAAAAAAATCAATGGAAAATGCTTTTGAAAATCCAAACGAAATAATACAGAGTTCAGTCAGCATAGTAACTTTGGAAAAAGCCGATGAAAAACCGATTTCTAATGGAGAGAAGATAAAAATGAGTTACAAAACTGAAGGAATCAAAAGTAATATAGACGAAATAGCAAACGATGAGATGAAATTAGAAGTAGATCGATACAGTACAGAAACTTACATTAAAACTTGGCAAAAGTATGGTAAAAATATTCCAAATAATATCCATGAATCAAAACAAAGTTCGACTATAAGTGTGATTGACTTTGTAAAGCCTACAATAAAAAAACACGAAGAAATAGAAATTATTGAGCCTTGTGTACTAGGCGATGCAAATAATTACTTGTCGTGGTGGCTTCATAAAAATGGTTCCCTCGTGAATCAAGGTGTGGTATAAATATATATTTCCTAAAAAAAATCGTATTAAATAATAATATATTTTATAATAAAAAAATATAATATTGTTAATTAATCAATCACATTCAAATTAGGCATTTCTTCGTATGGATTTCATATTGATTTGTCATCAACACGAGTCAATGGTTCTCTAGAGGTTATAATGATGAATGAAATGATGAACAAAGCGCAGAATGATATTGTCTTTCTTAGCATGGCTAAGGTATTATTGTATAATTGAATCATATACTAGAAACTAGGTATTATTTTTCAAATAAGTGCTTTTTATTATGATAAAACTAAAATAATAATTATTAACTTTTCAGATGAATTTGCAAAAGGTTCCATTAGAAGCGTTGCTCGTAGTTAGAACAAGTGTTCACTATTTATCTTTATACGGCAATAATTTTTTTATTGCTCCAGTTTTATATGGAAGCTTTCAAGAATGTAAGTATCAAAAAATAGTATTATGTATTAACTATAATAGTACACATTCAAATCCATAATGTAAGTACTCATATATTGTCTGATTTCTTCTCAGAAATGTATAGTTTACGTTTATATTTGATCAAATATTTATATAATTAACATATAACTAAATAATAAAATATTACTTAAATTTTATCAGTTGACTGGGCCCGCTTCCCTGAATTGAGTAATTTGGAAGAACTTGATCTACGAAACTGTGCAATAAATTACATCGCCCAAGGCCTATTTGAAGATATGCCTAAATTAAAAAAATTATATCTTGCCCACAATCGTCTTTCCGAAATATCATCTGATTTATTTAAATACACACCAAGTTTAGTGCATTTAGATATTAGTTACAATGATGTTATTACGAAGGATCTCCAGGATTATCAAAAGATCCATATGAACGGTTTGTAGATGGATTGTCATAAGCGATGATGCCTTTCTGGTTTGATCAACATGAAACTTTAGATTTTTCAAAAACTAAAATATCTCCGATCAGTGCTAGAGCTTTTGCTAAATTGGGAAAAGTCTTAAACATCTATCACTCTGCTATACCGATTTACCATTAATCAATTCAAATATGTTCAATAACACAACACTAAGAGTACTGGATCTTTCTGGAAATCCGACCACATCATCGGTTGTGCTTTGCGACGCATTTTCAGGATTACAGGATACGTAGAAGTTTTATTTTACAGAAAATCAAATGTCAAATATTTAGTTGGTTTGAATAAACTCAATCATTAAAAATTCTTCATTTGGATGTAATATTATAAGTGTTTACATAACGACACAATTTGCCGGATTACCAAATCTGGTAATACTAGATTGAGTAAAAATCATATTAATATTGGTACACCAGAGTTTTGCAAATAACACTAAATTAGAAATGATAAATTTGCGCCAAAATATATCAATTTAATGAGCCAAGAAATGATGCAAGACTTCCATAATCTACGTTACT